ACCGCTGGTGGTTAAAAGGTTTATTAAAGAAAAGAAAAGAAAAGAAAAGAAGGGGGGTGGCTGACTGGCTCTGTAGAGAGAAACCAGCAGCCTTTGTTCTCTTGCAGGCCACTTATATATCCTAGTTCAGGTTTAACTGGGCGCCAAGAAGCAGTTTAGGGTGTTTCAGCTGGCCTTGAGATGTAGATGTCCGCATCACACCAGTCTCTCTCAGGATGTTGTTAATCACTTAAAATGCAGTCTTAGGAAAGCAAACACTGACCATCAGTACCAGGACATTATCAGTCACCCAGCTTTGGGATGCGGGTCTCGGGAAAGCAGATATCGGCAGTAGAGCAATCAATAACAGGACGCCGTTAGAGCACAGTGTTAGCTTTTTGGGCCGTTGCAACTCTGCGCTCCATTTGCGAGGTTTATATGATAAGTTGTTTTCACTGCAACCTCCTCTCCCATCCCCCCACAAACCCTACGCATATTCTGTAAATGTAGAGCGCAGCCATTAAGGGGCAGCTGGGTGACCGTCTGTCTCCCTTCCTTGTGGTGGGTGTCCTTACGAAGAAACAGCCTGCAAGGGAGGGGATGCATTTCTGCCTGTGTGAAATTATTAGCCAAGTTTGGCCCCAAAGCCTGTGAACTACTTGAAGTATGATCTTTATTTCACAACTTATTCTGAGTATACCACAATGTAATCATGCGAGCATTAGCCAAGAACATTGGTGCCTTCACTGTTGAGATTAAAATTGGCTCGAAAATGAGGACCCCGAATCAAGCCAACGCCAGCCAAGTAGTGGGTCCCCTTCTCCCTGGAAATGTTCTCCCCAGCGTTTGGCGGGAGGAAACGGAAGGTCTCGACGGGGATGGGGATATCTTTGTGTTCGGCTACCGTCTCTCCAGTGGTGCGGGGCCCTCGGAGGACACTGGGCACAGAGTCAAATCGTGATTTGTCATATTCAGAAGTGGAGCAAGAGTCAGCAGGCTTCACCAGTAGTGTGAGAGGTTTGAGTGCTAACGAGGGCGACATTGAGAACTGTTCGTGTGTGACAGCCTTGATTGAGGGACCAAGGAAGGTTGTGGAGTGAGCGCCAGCTAACGATCTGGGATGGGCATGATCCAGCCTTTCCAGAACTCTGGTCAGTCTCCCAGTCTGGGTTTTCTGTGTAGCAGTTCAGGGCACAGAGCTGGAATGACAGCCTTCTTGGCTGTTGGCCTCAACCCATTCCACCCTAGCACCTTTGCGGTTATAATGTCTTCTGTGTACCTCATGGGTTAAAATCCTGGAGAAAAAAGTTTCCTATAAAAGTGAATAAATTGGGGTAGGAGGCAATTGTCAGTGAATAGTTAAATAAGTTATTAGGTAGCAACAGTTTTTATTTGTCAAGTCTACCTCAGTAAAGCTGCAAAAAATGGTGATGGTAGAAGGAAGTGCTTACGGTATACTCTCTGAAGAAGAGAATACAAACTATGGTCACAACCATAGAAACTTAATATGTGCAAATGAACAAGAATTAGAAAGCACATGAAAAAAGAAATCAGCCGGGCTTGGTGGCTCAGCCTGTAATCCCGCACCTTGGAAGGCTGAGGTGAGTGGAATGCCTGAGCCCGCAGGTTCGAGACCCGCCCGGGCAACTTGGCGAGACCGCATCTCTACAATAAATCAAAAAAATCAGCCGGGCGTGGTAGCGCATGCCTGTAATTCCGGCTACTCGGAAGGCTGAGGCGGAAGGATCGCTGGAGCCCAGCAGGTCGAGGCTGCGGTGGCCGGGAGCGGCCACTGCACTCCAGTCTGGGCGATAGAGTGAGACTCCAACTCAAAGAAAAAAAAAGAAAGAAAAAAGAAATCTATTCGAATATGAGGGTGATGGGATGATAGGTGCATGTTCTACCATTTGGGATTTCTAGTTTTGCTGTTCCGTGATTCCTGCAAAACCCAGAAGCCAGGTAGGAAAAGTTCCTATCTTCAGGCCATGCCTGCTGGCCCACGGGCCGTGATGTCCCAAGGCAGGAGTGGAGGAACTCTTTCACCCATGGCTGACCCTCCTCCTGCTCCAGGCTTGGTTCTCCGGTTTGGGGACCTCAGTGCAGGATACTTTGTTTCACCCTAGCTAGAAAAATGTGTAGAAAACAGGCGTGTCCTGGTTTCGAGCAGTGAGAGCAGATGGGACACACACTAGTGCACTGGCCCAGGAATAGGCCAGGGCTTGGCTCAGCCCTCGCAGTGAGCTGAGGAAGGTAGGAGAGGCATGCTTAAGAAGGCACGGTAGGGAAGAGACCCCAGTGCTGTGGCTGGGCCTTATCCTCTGCACACCCTTTCCTGCCCTGCTCCTGTCCCCCTCAGGAGCTCTCTGTGGGATGCGATAAGAAAACCTGCTGACAGGTCTGGATCAGGCAGATGATAGAGAAAGAGAGAACAGAGTCTCCCCATAAGTCAAGGCTCCTGGTGCTGCCTGGGAAGAGGAACATGTGGACTCACAGACCTGCCATTCATGCCAGGGATATCCTGTCATGACAGAAAGGTTTCAGACAAAGAGTAGTTTACTTATGAAAGAATTCAGGGCCGGGCGCGGTGGCTCACGCCTATCATCCCAGCGCTTTGGGAGGATGAGGTGAGAATTGCCTGGGACCACGGGTTTGAGACTAGCCTGGGCAACTTGGTGAGACCCCATCTCTACAATAAATCAAAAAATCAGTCGGGCGTGGTGGCGCGTGCCTGTAGTTCCAGCTACTTGGAAGGCTGAGGCGGAAGGATCGCTTGAGCACAGCAGGTCGAGGCTGCGGTGGCCGAGAGCGTGCCACAGCCCTCCAGCCTGGGTGGCGGAGTGAGACTCGAAGGAAGGAAGGAAGGGAGGGAGGGAGGAAGGAAGGAAGGAAGGAAGGAAGGAAGGAAATTCAGTTACTCATTTAACAATTTAAAGAATGCCTATGTGTCGAGCATGTAGATCCGGGAAATGCATCACCAAAGTCTGAGAGGAAGGAGCGGTCTGAGGAGAAGCCAGCCGATTCTGCTTTAGACAGATTTAGAATCAGGAGTCTCAAGGAGGTGGGGACCACTGGTCAGCCAGTGGAGTGTGGCGTGAGGGGAGAGGACAGGCCAGAACTCCAAGGACCAAGATGGGGTGGCCAGAGAGAGCAAGCGGTGGCCCAGAGCAGTGACACTGAAATCAGCCGAGAGCCAGGCATCAGGGATGCATCTGCCAGGCTGGACGTGGGGCTGTTCTTGGCACTGCCAGGTTTGCTCATGTTTAAGGACATACAGTCATTGACGATGGGTACTGCCGTTTCCAGAAAACATGCAGCCCCTCTCTGGGTTCCGCCCTCCCCATTTGAACTAGGCAGTGGTGTCCTTGGCCATCCCACTGCCCAGGGTTTTCATCTGTGTGTTTGCTGGGACTGGGGCCAGCTCCCGAAGCTGGCTCTGAGGCCCCCAGAGGAAAGGGCCCCTGCAGGGACAGTCAGGGAGGCCTCCAGGCAGGCTGCGAAGGGAGGGAGGACAGAACGGAGAGCCCTGGGGAGGCTGTTTCCCATGGGAGGCTGTTTCCCATGGGAGAGTCACCATGACTCCAGAGGGGCTGACCTGTGCGCCGGTGCCGGTGCCTGTCAGCCCGTTTGATTCTGCTTTGCTTTCTGCCTGTCCCTATGCCAGAACTGTCACCACCCATCACATAAGTTTACAGCTGGACCCTAAGCCCACACTTCCTCCAAGCTCAGCTGGGTCAGTGTATATTTTTGCCGCTGATGTGCCCCAAGTATCTTAGGCACAGGCTATATGTGTTAGACGCCCCGTTGAGCAGTGGCGAGGGTATTAGCATACTCCATAGGGCAGGACAGGACAGCCTCTGCTGCGCTGTTCTGTTGCCAAGCTCCTAGGGGCGCTTTGGGCTCTCGGGGCTCTGTGCTTGTCAGGTGGGACATCCCTCTCCTCAGAATCCAAAACCAGACTTATGCTCTCACCCCCCATAGTTCTTACTCTCTTTATTAGGGGAACAGACTTTTAGCTAAGAGCCCAGTGGACCCTTGCTAATAGCCAGCACTTTGGGTTCAAGAGGGATGACACACTGAAATGCTTCATGAACAAACTTAGGGTGTTAGAAATGACCCTTCATCATGCCTGTTGCTGGCTCGTCACCTTGTCAGTCTGGCCAAGATGTTGAGCAACTGGATGTTAAGTTCCATCTGCCTTGTGGATATACAGACTGAAGAATAAGTTCACTAGAAGTTGCTGGAAGGGCCTTCAGTTTTCGGAAACTTGGTTTTAAATTTGAGAGCTGGCTGGGCTCGGTGGCTCAGCATGTAATCCCAGCACTTTGGGAGGCCGAGGCGAGTGGATTGCCTGAGCCCACGGGTTCAAGATCCACCCAGGCAACTTGGTGAGACCTTGTCTCTACAATAAATGAAAAAATAAGCTGGGCGTGATGGTGCACACCTGTAGTTCTGGCTACCTGGAAGGCTGAGGTGGAAGGATCGCCAGAGCCCAGCAGGTTGAGGCTGCGGTGGCCGGGAACATGCCACTGCATTCCGGTCTGGGCGACAGAGTGAGACTCCAACTAAAAGAAAAAAAAAAACTTGAGAGCCAGCGCTTGTGTCTGGGTGGTGCCTTTGTGGAAGGCCGGGCAGGTACAATGTGCATTTGCACTGGGTAGGACCAGAAACTGTCCACATCCTGGTGGTGACTGAATACTGTTTGCTGAGTATTTTGAATGTATTTCAAGCACCCAAGTGTATAGATTGCTCAGTGTTTGACTTCAAATCTTTTATGGCTGGGTCCTAAACTTTCTAAGTTTTCCTTTTGCTCACAACCTTCCATTTAGATGTGAGACAGAAAAAGGGACCAGCTCCTTCTTGCTTCATGCTTTAAACAGGTCTGCTACTGCCAAAAGAACAATGGGATCGTTGCTTCAAAAAAGTGTAGTCAGTGTTTCTGGATGCTGCCTCTGCTATCATGCTAATGATTTTTTTCCCTAATGTTTCTTGTTCCTCACTTTCTTCCCCCTCCTCGCTTCCAGGAAGGGTGCCTGTGGCCTTCAGACAGCTCCGTGCCACGGCCAGGGGCCTCAGAGGTAAGGAGTGGACAGGGAGGTTGGGCTGCAGCGAGGGTGGTGCGAGGAGTCGGGGGGCAGTCACAGCCACAGCATGGGCGAAAGGGGTGCAGATGTTATAGCATGGGCTAAAGACAACACTTTGGGATTAAGGCATTGCCTATAGCTTTGGTCCAAAAAGTGACGGGGAGGAATTTTGCCTAGAATCTTGTGCTCGTCTAAAGCTCACTACAGACAGCGGGTTGAGAATCCTTGATCGTTACATGGTCCCATAAGTTGCTAATAATTGCCTTGGCAAGTGTGGGCACGGTTTACAAATGTCGTGGCATGATTCATTCCTACATCTCCACGTTTAATAATGCGAATTTTAAAATAATATATTTTTGCCTCTAAGTTAAAAATATGGTGTGAGAGAAACCAGTGGCTTTATATGTTTATGTGTGTGTGCATATGTGTGTGTGTGTGTGTGTGTGTGTGTGTGTGTGTGTATATATATATATGTTAAATGCATATCCATACACACACATGTTTACACACACACATGGATATAAGATCTATCTCCTAGAACAATAGTTCCCAACCTTTTTGGCATCATGGATTGGTTTCGTGGAAGACAGTTTTTCTACAGACCAGGGTGGGGGAATGATTTCTGGATGATTCAAGCACATTACATTTATTATGCACTTTATTTCTACTATTCTTACATTGTAATATATAATGAAATGTATACGTAATAAATATATAATGAAATATAATGTAAATATATAATGTAATATATATTGAAATAATTATACATAATTATACAACATACAAAATTATATTATAAATAATCATACAATAACTATGCTACCACATACAGTTGTACAATTGAAGTACATCAACTCCCTTGCCACTCACTGAGAGAGTTCTGATATGAGTCTGCCAGCAATTGATTTATTATGGTCTCTGTGCTCTCAGACCTCACTGCTAATGTTAATCTGTATTTGTAGCCACTCCCCAGTGCTAGCGTCACCGCCTCAGCTCCACCTGAGATGATCACACATTAGATTCTCATAAGGAGCGTGCAATCTAGGTCCCTTACATGCACGGTTCACAGTAGGGTTCGTGCTCCTATGAGAATCTAATGCCACCCCTGATCTGACAGGAGGCGGAGCTCAGGTGGTTAATGCCAGTGATGGGCAGTGGCTATAGACACAGATGAAGCTTCGCTCATTGGCTGTGGCTCACCCCCTGCTGTGTAGCCTGGTTCCCAACAGGCCGCAGACTGGGGTTGGGGAACCCTATCCTGAAGAAGCTTGGATGGTGGAATAAATGAGAGGATTTTGTAAGAAATGTACTATCTAGATTCATTTTGGGGAAAAAAAAGTATATTCATGTTTACTTTGGGATATAAAACGTTGTTTATGTCAGTGACCAGAATAAATAACTCCAGAAAACTTTTATCCAGAATCCAAAAACTGGAAAAGTCTAGAAGTCAGAAAGAAAAAAAGATCACTGCTTTATCAGTTTATTTTTTTGGAGTCTCACTTTGTTGCCTTGGCTGGAGTGCAGTGGCACAATCACGGCCACCCCGGCATTGGCCTGTTGGGTTTCAGCAATCCTGCCTCAGCCTTCCAAGCAGCTGAACTACAGGCGTGTGCTACTATACCCAGCTAATTTTTTATTTCATTGTAGAGATGAGGTCTTGCCAAGTTTCCCGGGCTGGTGTCAAACCCACGGGCTCGGGCAATCCACTCACCTCAGCTTCCCAAAGTGCTGGGATTATAGGCTGAGCCACTGAGCCAGGCTCAGATTTTTTTAAAGAAAGTAATTGATAGAGCAGTAAGCTTATGTAAGTAATTAATAATTTGACCCAATGCCTATACTCACTCCAAGTACCGCTGTGCGAAATTATAACTTATATTTGCCATTCAAACTCAGAGCCCCTCCCCACTTTTCTAAATCATGGGCTCCAGGAGCTGTCAGGGACCTGAGAATGCAGGCAGCCCCGTCCCGTCCTTGTAAGTTGTAGATAATGAAGCTGAGGCCTGAATTGATGACTGGATCTGAGTGCTGGCTGCATGGTGTTCTCCACTCTGTGACTCTGTTTACTGCACTCTTGGAGTTACTCGTGGATGCTATTTGAACCCTTGGGAAATGCATACGTGGCTCACACAGTCATTCCGTGGAACCCAAGCTTTCAGTTCCCCTTGTTCAACCATCCTGAATCCACTGCAGTTTGGCAAAATAAATGGCCTGAGTTCTGAGGAATAAGAAAAGCACATTTAAAAAAATATGGAATGGTCTCTCCCTATTTCATTGGGGAAACTGTTCCAACTGGTAAGAACACAGACCAAGCACATGTTTCTTTGATTCCGTCGCATTTATGGTCATCGCTGCGCCAAGAACGTCATCAGGCCTCTTTTCTTCTCCTTCCAGATCATGTATGCCCCGCGGTCCAGGGACAGGTTTACTGCCCCATCCTTCATTCAGAGGGATCGGTTCAGCCGCTTCCAACCCACCTACCCCTACGTGCAGCACGAGATCGACCTTCCTCCCACCATATCCCTGTCTGACGGCGAAGAGCCACCTCCTTACCAGGGGCCCTGCACCCTGCAGCTCCGGGACCCCGAACAGCAGATGGAACTCAACCGAGAGTCCGTGAGGGCCCCCCCCAACCGAACCATATTTGACAGTGATCTGATAGACATTTCTATGTACAGCGGGGGCCCATGCCCACCCAGCAGCAACTCGGGCATCAGTGCAACCACCTGCAGCAGTAACGGGAGGATGGAGAGGCCGCCCCCCACGTACAGTGAGGTGATGGGCCACCACCCGGGCGCCTCTTTCCTCCAGCACCAGCGCAGCAATGCACCCAGGGGCAGCAGACCGCCGTTTCAGCAGAACAATCCAGAGAGCACAATAGTACCCATCAAAGGCAAAGACCGGAAGCCTGGGAACCTGGTCTGATTCCCTCCGGCATGCACTTGAACTGAGGAGAAGGAAACCAGGGAGGGAAGGGGCCGCGCTGGGCCCCTTCTGTGCACAGTGTTGTTCAGTATTACGTGGTACAACTAAGTAAAACCAAATGAGCAAACACGGTCTTTGTTTCTGGTTCCTTTCAGGGGGATTGCACGCAGCCTAGACTGAGACGATGCAAACTTCCATCTGGTCTGACCGCAAACAGTGTTCGTTGAGGACAGGGGTTGGGATGCGGGGAGTGGGCAGGGGGAGAAAGCAGGGAAAGGGATGCTTTGACGGTATCATGAAATGAAACCCACAGAGGTATTTGATTTATTTAATTCCGAAAGGAGACTTTGCAGATAAATGGGGCCAGAATGGCCTGTTTTATAACTAACTGAATAAAGAAGGAAGCATTATTATATATTATTGTGGGGAAGAATCAGCCAGTTTGCTTTTTCCCCCAAGGCGTGGACTTTTATTTTGTTTTAAAAATATGAATCAAAATTCCCATTTTGTGTGCCAAGGTATAAAGTGGGGAAGTTAGATGAATGCAAGGAGCTAATTTGTGTTGTGATGATGTGTTTTAAAAGTTGCACTGTCTTAATGTTTCAAATACATATGAGGGAACTGTTTTACATGAAATTCTATGTTGTCTTTTCACCTGTGGATTGTGATCAGGCCCAAGGAATATCCTGGAGTGTTCCCCAGAATCATACGAGAAAATATATTCAAGGATGTAGCCTACCGTTTACCATTTCACACACAAAAAGTCATTATTGTGCAGGAATTTGCATCGAATGGCAGTGTATCCCTGAAGCATTTAGAGACTTTCGGATGGAAGATAGGAAGTACTGAGTTGCAGCATTTCTAATTTGTTTTGGAGTTACTCTACCAGTCTTAGGCTGCATATTTTATTAAAAATGAACCCAACTGCATTTATGTATCCAGTATCACCTGGCACTGCCCTTATCCTCCAGCAGTGCAGTTTCTTCAGTAATTTAGATTTATTTTTCACTGTAGCATGAAGCATATTCAGATACATACCTTATTTTATGCAATAAATTGTTTAAAATGCAAGGTGGTTATTCTGCATACTGTTGAAACATGTGACTCCCTCGCCCGTCCCCGTGGCCTCTCCTCTTCCCTAGATAGCTCAGTTCAGTTCTGCAAGGCTGGGCTCGTTCGCAGGAGGCTCCCAGCCATCACCCCGTACAGTCCCCCCGGTACTTCACGTGCAAGTGTTGCGGGAGGTGGTGTCTGCTGCTTAGGGAGTCGCTGGAACTGGTGGAAGAACACCATTCTGCCAGTCGTGATGACAAGCCATTGCGTCTTGCCAGGGTTTGCACAGCATTCTACAGGAGTGCTGTGCTCAAAACCTCCCCAAACTCCTGCAGGATTCTACTCAGCCCTTCCACGGGCGTTGAGGGCAAGAACTGGGTGGTCAGTCAGAGAACAGTGGGGTGAGGTGAAAGCGTGACTTAAGAGCACAGGATAAAAGCACAACATGCAGTTAAAATGCAACTAGAATACTCATTTTAAATATTGTTATTCTTAGTTTTAATATGCTTGATATTTACAAACATCCGTTCTTATGTATAATTGAAAAAAAAAACACTCTCTTCTGCAGATGTTAAGTGCTGGCTTTTGTAAGAGTAGCAACCCACGCGTTTTAACAAACACTGCGAGTGGAGAAGGCTTACTTGCTTGTGGTCTGCCATGCAGGGGCCTCTGCTCATATCAAGATGAGCCAGAATGGTGATTCAGTGACTCCGATCTATGCAGCTTTAATGCCAAATCAGCATTGTGTCAGTGTCTGTCTGTGGATCTCAGAGGCGATTCCTCAGTGGGGTAGGTTTGTGCTGCTAGCTGAGGGCTGGAGAGACTGCTCTGAACCCCAAGTCCTGTCTGATCCTGGTCTGCTCCCTTCCACTTCTTATCTTGGTAGGTTGGTCACTGGTCGGTTGGTTTGTTTTGAGGAGTGGAATCTCCATTAGATGCATCTCTTTCACACAGTAACATCCACAGAACTAGTTGAACTCTTGAAAGGAGAGAGAAGATAGACAACCGTTGCCAGCTCCTATCTAAGGCCTTGTGTGGAAATATGTACAGTTGAAGGCCATGGTAGAAGTTCTCAGACCGAATTTAAAGACCAGTTCCAGGGACACTGGGAAGGCCTCTTCCAGGGAGAAACCAGCTCTCAGGGTAGAGATAGGCTTGGGGCCAGAGATGGCCTTTCCCACCACCCCGGAGGTCCCAGGGAGGTCACGGGCTCCTGGGACGTCAAGCCTGTGCCTGAGAGAAGCTGGGGACTCTGTGACACAAAGTGTCTCCTTATCTGTCAGGTGAAGATGAGAAGACCCTTGTCCCAGACAGACTGCACTGGTGGGGACTCGTGCTGGATCATTGATCAGGTAGCCCCTCAGATGCAAAAGTGAGAAATTCGCTAGTGATTTTATCATCCAAATCTTGCTGGAAGTTCTGGTAAAGCAGGTGAACCCACTCTGTAGCTCTAGCTCAAAACAGTTTCACAGTTCCTGGTTTTCTACCTGCTAAAAGAATGAGCTCAGAGCAGAGGCTTATAAGTTCCATAGTAATTTTGCAAGTATATGAATGTTTTGCAGATGTCTGCAGTATTGGCTAATTATTCAATTCAGTTACCTTTAATTGTCTTTCCGAAGAGAGGTTTCTCCCATTCAGCCACCCTAGAGAATAGCCTTTTAACTTAGTTATTTAACTTAGTTATTCATATCAAACCGTGAATTTGGAAGGTCTTTGAAGCCGGACCACCATAATGAATTAGTCTAGCCAAGGCCATAAATGGACTTAATAGTCAATTTCCCTTCAACACAGGGAAAGGGTGATTTAGATCAGTAGCTTTTCTAAAGGTTGTGGCTGACCTATTTGTGCTGCCATTGCCTCGTGGCTAGCTCAGTGTGGAAGACAGCGACTGTGAAGACACAACTTATGTGGTGGGACCTACCGGTCTTTCAAGAATCCTTTAAGCTTATGGAACCTGAGGGTCCAGTTTAAAAAAACAGTGGTTTCAGCAGTCATTGATAGGTTTATACTCTTAAACTATCCCAGCACACTGTGGAATATTTTTGCAACAGAAGATTGCACTGTTGGCAAGAACATCTGGAGAGAATGAACACTCTGGGCATCCCCCTGTCCCCTTTTCCAAGGGACACCCAGGAGCAGGAAACCCAAGACATCTTCAATTCCATATACAAGAACTGTCTTCCAGCATATATTTGCTGATTCCAAAACTCCAGTGTTCTTTAAACACTGAAGTCACACTTCATGGAAAAGAGAGTTTGTGGAGCAAATTATGTGTTTAAACCTATTTTTCATGTCCAAAGTTGACTGATAAAAATCTTGACAAGCATGCCCTTCCCCTGTAAACCCCCCGCCCCACCACATGGACACATGCCCAATTGACAACAAATTTCAGGGTCATGGAGGAGAATTTTTAAAAGTCACGAAGATTTATCATGAGGACTCTACTTCCATTCACCGAATTTTAGCTCAAAGTTATGAGGAAACAGGGGCCCTGTGTGACCTGGGAGACCTCCCAACACCCCTGTGGGACCTGGTACACAGATGAGAAGTTGGAATCCCCCTTTAGTTCATGTCCATAGTGAGAAGGGCTCAAAAGGAAGCACTTTTAGAAAGCTGCTCTGATCTAGAAAAATCCATTCAAATCCTCGCCTTCCTCTCTGACAAGGGTGGTCCTTTATCTTCTGTCCACTTGCTCTTCTTTTCGGGAGGAACACAGCCCTTCAACTATGTCCTCAGGCCAGATGCTGCTTGCTAGCACTGAGGCCTGCAGCACTCGTCCCCTACCCCTCCTCCCACAGGACAGGCTCTCCTGGTATTGGTCATGTGCTCGTGGGCTCCGGAAGACTTCCTGCCAATGTACTTCAGGCAGAGCCAGGAGCCTGACCACCCGTGCCATCCTTGCCTGGACTCACCCCGTCTTGGTGTGTTTGGCGTGCTGGTGTCTGCTTGTTGAATTTTGCTGCTTAGGAGGGTGACAGTCACCGCACTTGTATACCATTGGTTGTTCTTAAAATGTCCAAAGCTCCAAAGCAGAGTAGGAAGAAAAAAACTGGGAAGGAAACTCGGTTTCTGTTGACTTTGGCTCCTCTCGCTTGAGTGACTGAAGTTGGCGCCTGGAGCCAAGCCTTGCCCCAGCGAACATGGCCTGCAGCCTGCTCCCGCCCTGCACTGGTGTGCCCCATGCTTTGCTTAAGAGTGAGAGCCAGACTCTCCTCATGGTGAATGTCATGCACTTGGCATATTGAGGTCAAAGGACGTCACTGGATGACCGGATGACGAGAGGAGGCCCTCTCCGTCTCAGTGCAAGAATGCTTGATCTCATGGTGGCACACCAAAGTCACAAGGCAAGACACTTTGCTTTCACCCCAGATCACAAACACTAGTTCTCAGTGGCTGCGTGACTTACCTGTTTGTCGATTCCACCGAGGCCATGCCGCCAGCTGCCAGCACCTGTCCGGAGATCACAGAGAGGTGAACAAACCACGGAAAGCACCCTTAGCCTTGTAATAGCTGATATTTTTTAGGAGTCAGTCTCTCAGCCTATCTTCATACCCAACAGGCTGTGTCTTTTGCATAGTTCCAAGTTTATGTTCCTGCCAGGGTTAGACAGCCATTTGCTCGCTGCCGCTGCTGCTGCTTCCCGAGCTGGATGCATTAGGAAGCTTTTGTGTGTGAGTGTAGGGTGGTCTTGTTCGAAAGCGATGTCTTCCTTCATCCTTTTCTTTCTTCCCTTGGCGTGTGCTTGTTTCTGTGTCACGTGAAAGGGGGTTAGAGCTCTACAGAGGCTTTCCATACGCTATCTGTGCATATTATCTGTAGATATCCCTATCGCGTCAAAGAGATCTGCATGTCAGTTTCCAAGCAACTAAGGTGCCTCACGCTGATTTCAGCAGATGTAGGAACCAAGCCGCCCCCTCTTGCACTTGATGCTCCCACCTTTGTTGTGCCTCACTTAAAATGGTGCTTTTTCAGTTGTCTGTCTTTTCTTATGTTTTTATTTGTAAGGTGCTGTATATAAGTTGAATATATTATGCACATATCCTACCCAATGGGTAGAACACGAAATTGTTAATACTGTAATATAATGTATAGATACCAATTTTAACAGAAATGGCATAGAATTTGTGAATGCCTACGTGCTTCGTCCTCTTTTGTAAGGAAATTTGCAAATGGATGCATACAGATAAAAGTCTATGTAGTTTATTTTCCTATCAAATATCAATATTATAACACAAGGGAAAGAAGTCTAAACAAACAAGCAACAGTTTATGACCAGCGTATACATAGCAATTGAAAGTTGCATCTTTGCTGTGAACAGACTTTAAAAAAATAATTACAAAAAAAAAAAAACCTCACAGCTTTTTGGTTGCCACTAGACGCTTCTTATTTTAATCACTTTATTAATGCTCAGCTGGACAAGTGTCATTGTATTTTAGTCGGGGAAAAAGAAATGTTGATTTTTTTTAGACTTGCTTTATGGACAACAGACATTATCTCCTGCTCTAGTAAAACGAAGGCGTCAGTCCTCAGTGAGAAGTGCACGTTTTTGTTGTGGTTAATATCGCAAAACTTGTATCAGAGTAGATAATGCAACCTGCAGCAGAGGACTTTATTCAGCTACAGAGGCATCTATGACCATCTGTGTCCAAGTCTCTCTGTGCCTTTTTCTTTGACAAATTGAAGCTGTGGAGCCAATGAACTAACCGTAGAGCTTGTAGGGAAAGAATACCTCAGGAAAAACAAATCCACATAAAGGAGACCCTGCTCTTAGACAAAGTGTTGTGTTGTGGGTTAGCACTAGAAGAGACTTGGCCGTCAGTCAGCCAAGTGAAGAATCTTATATCCATTTCCACTGGTGTCCTTTCGTAATGCCGACCCAAAACACAAACTAGATTTTGACATCAGAGATGACATTTTTAGTTGTATGTTAAGTTATGCCTCTCCTCCTGCTTGGTTTGTGGTGTTTGATTGTGATCTCTGCATCTTTCAGATATTCTAATTTCTTTTTAAAAGAAAGGCCTATAACACGGTGTTCATTAAAACCACTGTTGAAGCTTGGGTGTGGGTATCCTTTTGAGTGTTGTCCATGAAGGCAATCCGCGGAATTTTGCCCTCTCTGATCCATATCATCAGCTTATTCTGCCACCAGGGGATATTTATTCTAACAAATTCCAAATGTTTTTGTTTTCTCCATGGTGAATGTTCTGATTTTGAAAATCACGATAGAATCATAACATCCAGACAACAAGTTATGACCGATTATCCTTAAACTGAAAACACCTCTACAATGCAACTCTTAATGCTGAATGGATTAAAAGTCAGCCCTTCCCTTAGTATCCATTTGAGAGGACCGTGAGAAGATAATGATCTTGTGTGTTCTGGGTCCCATGTGTCGGCGCCATCATACACCCCAGGGTGCACCCTTGGTATTCAGCATTAAGAACCAAGGTTCATTACTTCAGAAACAAAGCTCCCTCCCCTGAGGTTCATCCTTGTGGGAGAACTGGTGAGCATGAGAATGTTCTGGACTCAGAGGTACTAAAATTTGTTACCACATCATTGCTTCCTTTTATAGAACTAACTGAGGCTTACATTTTATTGTTAATGATACTGGTTCATTTTAACATGCTTGTTGGTATGTTGCTATTTTTTCTTCCATGGCTTTCAAAAATCACACTTTCTAATTGTATACTTGTCTAGTTTAAAGCTGTTTTAAAATATGTACAATACTATTCAAGCATTTAGTTCATTTAATTTTTATTATAACGCAATCTACTAAAAAAGTACAACTGTTTTTGAACTTTTCAATAGTTGGTTGTTAGCTATGATAATCAGAAGTCATTAAAGCCTTTTTTTAAACAAACATTTGTGCTTTCAACATAATTTCCAGTTATATACAGAAAATATTTCCAGCTGTCATGTATCTGCCTCTTTTAACTGAGCAATGGTGGTGTAGTCTTAGACCTAAGGTCTGTGATTGCAATACTTTTAAAGAAAGATGTTGCTCCAAGTGCTGTCTGTTAGTTATGAAATCAAATTTTTCTGCTTGTTCTTAATGCTGTGGTCAAACCATAGCACAAAATCATTAAAAATAATCAGTGACATACAGTTGTCCCTTGGGTTTTTGTTTTGTTTCGTTTTTTATCTTTTAGCAAGCTCATGTATGGGGGGAAATGATGTGCATTTTAAGAGCTATCTCAAAGAAAACACTTCTTAGGGTTCTAGCTAGACTTTCCATTTAGCTCTTACTCACTCTGACCTTTCAAATCATTACTTCATACTCTGCTGTACACAACTCTAGTCAGATCACTTCATGATTCTTTTCTCAGTGCTAGGTTCTACATAGAATATTCAGAGATGACCCTCAGGTCTTCTCATGGGAAGAGTCTCCAGGAGAATTGCTGACACCGAAGACTAGAGGCCCAGGGAGGACTTGCTAGTTGCCTCAAAGTTTTTGGTTGGCTGTTACACAGAAACTGAAGTACTCAGCTCAAAACGTGGATGTGATTTCTAACATGACAACTGTTCAACAATGGAACAGCCTTCCTCACTGTATTTTACAATCCTTGGCGCTGGAGGTCTTCAGTCAGCGATAATGTAGCAGAAAGACTCTACATTTCCTGCGTTGAGGGACTAGAGTAATATCTCTATGCTCTAAGTAAGTAATATATGGGTTCACAGATGACATGATTGTATATGCACAGAACCCCACACAATCTACCAAACTACTAGAGTAAGTTAATTAGCATGGTTTTGGGATGTACAATTTATTTTTGCATTTCTATATGTTTGTAATGAACAAATGGAAACTGAAATTTTAAAAATACCATTTAAGTAACTGTATAGGCCCCAAATTCTAGTCGTATGCATATTTTAGATGAAGGCTGGGTGCAGTAGCCCATGCCTACAATCTCATGGCTTTGAGAGGCTACTTAAGAGGCTAAGGTGGAAGGACTGCCTGGGCCCAGGAGGTTGAGGCTGTGGTGAGCCATGATCACGCCACTGCACTCCAGCCCGGGGAGCAGAATGAGACCCCAATTCAATAAGTAAATAAAAATTCTGAAATAAATTATTTAAAATTATTTTGAAAAGTGGGTTAGAAAAGAGTTATAAGAAGGGAAGAGAACAATAAAGTGATTTATTTCCCTTAAAATAGCAAATGGTTACAAATGAACCACACCATACTCTTGAATAAATTCTGTCATCTCTTAATTTAGCAGACTACTGTAAACTTACTCCTGGAGAAAGAAGAAAATTCTGCACAGCAGGAATGAGAGGAGTCAGGGCCTGGGATTTCTTTTCTTTTTTTTTTTTAATAAATTTTTTATTTTAAAGATGTACGGTACAATTTAGAGTTAAGTATACAAATGTTTATTATGCAGGTACCCTTACTGAGGAGGTTCCCCCCCCCCAGGGCTTGGGATTTCCTTTTTTTTTTTTTTTTTTTTGAGTTGGAGTCTCACTCTGTCGCCCAGACTGGAGTGCAGTGGCACACTCCCAGCCACCGCAGCCTCGACCTGCTGGGCTCCAGCAATCCTTCGGCCTCCACCTCCACCTTCCAAGTAGCTGGAACTACAGGCGCATGCTACCACACCCAGCTAATTTTTTAATTTACTGTAGAGATGAGGTCTCGCCAAGTTGCCCAGGCGGGTCTCGAACCCGCGGGCTCAGGCAATCCACTCACCTCAGCCTCCCAAGGCGCGGGATTACAGGCTGAGCCACCGAGCCCGGCTAGGGCTTGGGATTTCTACTTGATGTTTTGAGTCTGTAAATTCTGGGGCCAGTTTGTCAGGACAAAGAATCAGGGCCCCTCCCCCTCCCCTCTACCATCAGGAAGCTATACCATCACTCTTGCAGCTGTCTCCATTTGGGTTCCTCTGAAAGCAAGGTCCGAATCAAGGGTCTGAGAGCTGTTCCAGAAGGAGCATGCGGGTGAGCAAGAAGAGAGAACAGACAAAATGTGCATGTTGTGTCCGTTTCCACTACAGGCAAAGGGAGTTCGGCCATGTTCTGTGAAACTGTGCAGGCTGTGCCTTTGAAGGACAGGAGGCTGGGATACCTACCCAAGAACATCGACGCCCACTGATGAGATTATCTTTCAGCCAACCGCCTGTGGGCTGAGCAAGCTCTGGACTTCAGAAAAAAGGATAACTGGTACTTGGAAGCTGCTGTGCCCATGAAAACTGTCCGCCCCAACTGGGAGAGTGGGGAGCCAAGAACACTGGCATGGGGCTCTGATGAGTCCGTGACAGTGCAGACCCTATGGGTCTGAAGTGGGTCCTTAAAACACTAAAGAGAGACCACCTGCAAGCGCCAAATGTCTGGACCTACTGATTTCTGCTGAGTGCCTGATGCCTGATGCTCCCTCCCTTAATGCTCCAAACCTGGCGACCTGGTAAGTTCTCCATATACACTGCTGCCTGTCTCAAAACTTCAGAAGCTAAGCTGTTCCTGCCTTTCTTTGACCTGCTTATTTTACTCATTAGTTTTGAGACAGCAGAGCTGCTAACTGCTGAGCAGAATCCCCCTAGATGCACACTCACCAACCACCCCCCCCCCGGAATAGTTAGAAAAGCATGCCTGAAGGAATCCTCCAGAATCTTCCAGAGATCTATTCAGAGTGGGCCTTGGGATAAGATGCCATATTCTTGATTCTCCATGATGACACGCACACATACCAGTTTAATCATTTGTACATAGCAGAGTGGTGACTCAAAAGACAGACTTTCAAAAGGCCTTATCAGTAAGCAAATACTTTTTTAAATCTAAAAAACGTGCAGCTGGATATACAGCAGCTCTCATATATCCCAGCCTGTCTACAAAGCCGTTTTCATTTAGAGCCCCACACCGCAGCATCAGCCAGCATGTTCTGCAGGCCCAGAAGGCCGCTCTGCAAGGACCCGCCCTGTGTGCCGACACCCAAGGCTGCTGAGGTTCCATCTGTCCCTCCCTGTCTTTGGCACAGGACGCTGATGCGATTTGGCTTCTTGGATATTTCCTCCTTACGGTCAAAGGGCAGCCCAGGCTCTGCAGCTTAATCGACCTGAGTGGTTCAAATATCAGCTTCATCTCAAGCTAATTCATGTCCCTGACAGGTTGTTTTAAAATCTCATCTATAGAATGGGAGCAGTGACACTTCTAACATGCACAGCACACATCCCGATGTGCTCACGGGCAGCGGCTGTTTTTACTAGACATCTCATGGTTAGATTTAAACTTTTTTTTCCCACAAATACAATGAACTTTTAAACAGCTTTTCGCCTTTGGGATGCCCTTTATGCTAACTACTGCAAATTAAAATCCCAGTGAAATAGGGGCTGATGTTACGCCCCAGCAATGATACCATGGAAGCTTGGCGTACCCAAGGTAAAGGCAGTCACCACGCCCCGAACATCCTTCCCGCTGGTTTTAAATAAAATGCACCTGTTCTTTTACCCCATTACTTCAGAAATATGATGCAGAAACAAATTTATTTTGTTTAGAAACAAATAAAGCATACTGTGGCAAAAGAGAGTTTCTTACAGCCTTACCAAAAAATGCTAAAATCCAAAGAGATTTACTTAGAGCAAATGGCTCAAAATCATTTCCCTTCTCGCCTTGCTCCCCCCTCCTGCCCTCCTCTGCCTCTAGTGTTTGGCTTTTTATGCTGATCTGGGCGTGGTTACCCACTACACTCCCTACTTGTCCAGCTTAGGCCAGAAGCAGCCTACAGCCCTCCTGGAGACGTGCCTTCTCTATAAGCCCGCCCACCTTCTTCTATAACACAATGCACAAGTACTTTGTCCTGAGCCTTAGTGACGACCCCACTCTAAACCTCAGGGATATGCGTTCTCCACATCTCTTGTTCTGACACTTCTTTCACTGTCTGCTGCCGGTCTCCCTCTGTGAGGGTTTCAGCCAAGAAGAGCAAGAAATGGGGGGGAGGCAAGATGCCTCAACCCACCGGATCCTCAGCATCCCAGAGGAACTGGCTGCCCCTACTGGACTCTCATCATACTTGTTTAACCACCAAGCATCATGCACATTAACCACTGTAAGAAGGAACAAAGAGAACAAAGAAAGAAGTGTCAGAGGGAAAAGGAGGAATAGCTCTAACCTTGAGGAAGGCATTACTCCTTTCCTGGAAACTTTCTCTGCAGACATTATGCAATTAATTGTACCCTTATCCACCGCACCCGGTTGCACCTGCATAACCAGCTACGTCTGCTTCTGTAAACTTGCTTGCTTGCCCACACCTCCAGAATGTTGCGATAAGAGCCCTGGGAAGTCCCAAGTTCTATCTTTAGCCCACCAGGATGTAAATCTAAACTACATAAGGCAGCCCTGTGTTGCAGCTCGGGGCCCTTGCTCTTGTTTGGAACTAGTTTCCCGCAAGCGGCCGCTGGCCAGCAGGGCCTTGACTAATAAACCTCTCCTTTGTTAATTTGAGTCAGTGGGCTGTCATTTAAGCACTTAGACCCTACTTCACCACATAAGTGCCAGACACAAATGCAGTTGAGCTTGTCAGGTCCTTGAGATACCATCCCCTGCACAGAGAAACACAGAGGGCACTACTCAGCTTTGCAGCTAGCTGGTCACTGCAGTGCAGAGCTGACATGGTGTGTGAAGTGTTAGGTTCTGGTTTTGAATTTTATGGTGGTAAGACATTTAACATGAGATCTGCCCTCTTCACATCTTTCAGTATACAATAAAGTACGGGTTTATAAGGTTGGTAGATTTCATGGGATTCAGAGGTCAACCTCTATATTTTGGTGAAACCTGGCATTTCTTAACCAGGGATATTCTGAACTACTCAGCACTAAAATTTTCCACAGATACCAGCTTATGACTGCTTCAGATATTGTAGTGATTGGCAGCAATTAAATGGAAAATTCTAATCTGATCTGGCTCCAAGTATGCCACAAATATAGGCTCAGACACCATGACCACTATCTGACCCTCAGTACAGGAAACAGCCAACTCATTTTGTACCAAGGAAGCAATGACAATTTCCTGAGGTCAAATCCTTCTTGGATGTGTGAAATATTTAAACTTACATAGATGTACAAAAACTAGATTTAATTACTTACGTTTTTACTTGTCCTCAAGTATGGATTTAGGTGTT